TTAATTGTTAATTATATTTTAACAATATTATAAAAAAAATTTCAATAAAATATACAGTTAATAAATTAATGTATTTCTTTTATGTAAATAGGTTAAAAAAATATATCAGTACGAAAATTGTTTGTTAAAGAATTAAAAGAAATTATCAATAATTTAACTGAAATTAAAAACTAAATTTACGTATGTATGAAATTAATCTATGGAAGAAGTTAGTTCGTATCCGCATAATTAATATTATTACATTCACATATTTCAAATATAAATAAAATTAAAACATGTGAAAAATAAAATTGAATAATGAACTTGTCAAATATAACAGGTGTCATAAATGTATTATGACCGATGCCAAACTACGTTTCTATTTACACATGAATGTTTATTGAAAGTATATAATGAAATCCTCGAAAATAAAATATTTTTATATGCTGTCATAAAAAGAATATTGTAGAAACATATCATTTAAGACGATCTTTCATCCGGTACCTCTTAAATTTGGGACATTTCGAATATAACATTATACAAATATTATAATATGAATAATAAAACGCATTACATTTTTGTATAAGTAGAAATTGAATTAATATAATTTTTTGCGATCATAGTACATTATTTATACTTGTATTTACTACATTTTCTTAAAATAATTAAGGAGAAACAAACGCAGATAGTTAGACTTACCAGCCATGATTGTTACTGTACGAGTCACGTCGTCCAGTTTCCTTACTTGCGAGTTGCGATTGCGAGTTGTGATTGCGAGTTGCGAGTTGCGAGGTTACGAAGTAGATTTGTTTATATAGGGTGGTACAAACAGGAGTTTACAAATTTCGTTTAAATTACGGAATTCTAAATTCCCTTATTCTTTCAACTAGAATAATAAGAGATAAGTAAAAGAAAAACTAAAATAATAAGAGATATATAACTCTTTTTTTATACAGACACACGATATGTATAAACGTTTCTATACGTTCATGAATATAATTTTAACAAATGAACGTAAGTACAGAATTGAAGTATTAACATATTTGTGTAACAGATTCTATAAAAATAATTCATTCATCCGAGAATTTACATTGTTTACTCTGCTTTTTACTCTGCTGCTCATATTTTCTATTAAAATTTGTTAATAGAAAATATGGAATTAATTATTTTTAAAGATCCTAATTACTTGTATAAAAAATGTTGTTTCGGCGTATAACCCTTTTGCCATTATATTTTCTTAATTTACCTTGTACTTAGAAAGTAAGTATACACATACTTACGTATATGTATAGTATTACATATTACATAGTCGTAAAATTTATATATACAATATTTTTGACACCCTGGTTACAGACTACAATGTATCGAACGATTCTCGATGGGATTCGATATGATATATCGAATTCATCGATTAAACCTGTTGCAACAATATTTGTCAAATCTCGGTGTACGGTGAATTCCTTATGTCAAATTGTTTTTAACAAGTTATCAATATTCGGAAAGTGTATCCAATAAAACAATTACAGCAATAAAATGGAAAAAAGTTTAGAAAAAACACTCGATGACGTGTAAGTTGAATGTCGAAAGAATTTACATTATTCATTCAACGTAAAGTACATAAACGAATGTTTACATGTCTGCTTATAATGCAGTTTTTCGCAAACAATTACACTACTGTAAATTTTCAGTTAGGAAATAAAATTTTCACTTATTTATATTAGAACAATAATGAAAATATCACGTCTTTCCCACATTATAGTATGCAATTTCAAAAAACTTTTTAATATCAGCTGTTAAAGGAAAATATGTTTTATTGATCTGTATTAATCGATAGAAATTAATTTAACCGGATAAACCAGAACATAGGACACATATAGTATATAGCAAGTTAACCTTATTTTGTCTTTTTGTAGAAATAATATGGAGGGTATTGTTGGTTGTATCTTGGCAGATCATACAGGATTATGTTTGGGAGGTAATTTTTTTAAGTGTATGATATTCAAAGCTATATATCATAAAATAATAAAAGTATCATAATCTTCTTTAAGTTAAAGGAGATGCATCTACAGAGAGTGCAGGAATAATTGCAGCTATTGCTGATCAAGTTGCAAAGTTGGAGGCAGATTCGCCAACTGCTATCGTAGCCCTTCAAAATGATAGCAGGTAATACATAAAATAATTTAATATCTTCATATTATTAATACTAAGGATTTTACATTGAATTTTAAATTATTAATTAAGAATTTATTAAAGCAATATTGAAACTAAACAAGTCTATACAAGTTGTACTGAATTAGGAATACAAAAGAATATTATAAACAATTTTATAGGAAGTGCCTTATACAACGCCAAGGTCCCGTGGTAGGTGCAATTTATAAGGACATCTCTATGTAAAGAAATGATTGTTTTCCAAACTAATAATACTGGTTATATTTAAGCTAAATCTCATTGCGTTTAGAATTATTTTGTTAATTGTATATCTATCTATCCATCTATCTATATATATATATATATATATATTTATATAGAGCCTCTGAGTAAATAATTTAAATGTAATTTCGTTGTGATAGGAATATTTGCAATTGCTCGATCTGAACTGTATCAATATAGAAAATACATAATTATTAAACTTTAGAAAATTTATATAATTTCCACATTGCAGCACTCTTGTAAATAAGTTTGTATGTAAATATTAATAAACCAGCATTTTAACATAATTAAGGTCAGTCACTCTTCTTATGTCTATTTCTTCTTTCGTACCATTTATTTGTACTAAGCCTGATTAGGTCATGATGCTCGTAAATCCATGATATTAATACAATTATAAACATAATCACTCCAGTAATTAGGTGTAGAACTTTCTCACCGGGGAAAAAGTAAGCCTAGAACAAAGAAATGTTAAAATATAGTTNTTGTATATCTATCTATCCATCTATCTATATATATATATATATATATATTTATATAGAGCCTCTGAGTAAATAATTTAAATGTAATTTCGTTGTGATAGGAATATTTGCAATTGCTCGATCTGAACTGTATCAATATAGAAAATACATAATTATTAAACTTTAGAAAATTTATATAATTTCCACATTGCAGCACTCATGTACATAAGTTTGTATGTAAATATTAATAAACCAGCATTTTAACATAATTAAGGTCAGTCACTCTTCTTATGTCTATTTCTTCTTTCGTACCATTTATTTGTACTAAGCCTGATTAGGTCATGATGCTCGTAAATCCATGATATTAATACAATTATAAACATAATCACTCCAGTAATTAGGTGTAGAACTTTCTCACCGGGGAAAAAGTAAGCCTAGAACAAAGAAATGTTAAAATATAGTTCAGAATATTGATAAAAAATACAGTATAAAAAACTGTTTCTTTTACATGAGACAGATTGGTGATTAAAGCTGCTATAAAAAGAGAAGCAGAAAACATAGGCTTTGGCACTAATCCATGTAACGGACGGTATGCCGTGTCTTTGTATCTTCTATTAATGAAGACAGTAGAATGCAAAATTCTTAAGCTCATGTTCACACAATTTCCGAGAATAAAACCAACTGGTCCAAACCATATTGCAAACAAATATGATGCGACCAAAAACGCAATCGATTCGTAGATCATAATTAAGTTGCTCTTGTTTATAGTAGCACTGTCAGCTGTAGCATTTGTGTAACATTCTGTGGCACCATTTATGCCCAATAGTAAAACGGCTAAACAATGTGCCCTCATCAAAAGTGTAGGTAGATGAGAAGTTAATTTTGCACCACCATATAACCATAGTAGAGTACTTGAATATGATTGACCAAATACTAGTACAACTAGACCAATAGAAGTAACAGCTGAACATAAATGTGTGAGAACATTTACACTTTCTTGAATTTTTACCTAAAATACATATACTTTTCTTATTTAATCCGTATTAAATCAATGTTCACTGAACTTTTGTCTTTTATTTACTTACAGGATTTTGATCATTGATTGGTTTATCTCGTTTAATCATTTGGGTAAAATAAAAATACCCACTTTCTTCTATTGGACGGAAAATGAATCTTGCCGCTAAAGAACCTAAATTATTCACAATTTCGTATGTTCCCTGTAGAAGTAAGAAAACAAGATTAATGTTAATAAGAGAATTTATAACAAAATAATAATTCTGTGCTAAATACTTGTTCAGTAAACGTTAATACTGGCATCACTGTCATAATTAATCTTTCTCCCTCTGTCAGAATTTGTTTTAGAATTCCTTGTCTAAAGAAGCTCCATGTAAGAATAGATAACTTTTTATCTAAACATGATTCCTGAAATATAGACAGTTATATATTCAGAACAAAAACAAGGTAGATCTTGGCACATACTTTATTTTCCAACTGTCCAGGTAGGAAATCCATTACCGTTTTAAATGGAAAGTCTCTTACAACATACTCATCCTTACTGTCTTTCAATGACATTCGACGCTTTAACTTATGTTTATTAATATTTTTGATGTAGTAATGGAAATATCCATAGTGACTAGTAGTATAAAAGATTGCTGCAACTAATTGAGCTACTCCAAACGCAAATAATGCATTATCTGGATTGTAAAGTATTAATGGAACAAATGTTAAAGTACGAATAGCAATCATGATAGTGTCAAGAACAATCTGAAATATTAAGTAGCTATTAAAATGTTCTAAATCAATAACATTATTTCTACAACATACTCTTACTTTCAATTTAACAAATAAAAATGCGCTAGCAACCAATTGAACAATTAATGATGATAATTCAATAATACATGACAGAGCAACTGCCCAAACTGCAAACATATAATAAGCTGGTAATTCTTCGGATGTTGATAAAACGTAGAGCCATATGTATCCAAATATCGTAGACATTACACAACATATAGGAACCCTGAAAAAAGATTTACATAAAATGTCTCTTTATCGGGTTTAAAAGATTTTCTGTTTTATAGCAAATTAACTATAAAGACTAACGTCATCCATAATAGATTAACAACTTGTGCCCAATTATGTTCTGCTGTATTAGTTAAGCATGCTTTCATAAATGGTTCTCGAGATAAGAACAAGATCATTGACTCCAATAACAGGAGCCTTACATTTATAACACCCAAAACTGCTTGACCAACATGTCGAACAACAAATGCATTCAAAACAAATGTAACACCTCGACATAGTATCTACAAAAAAAAGGGAGACCATTTAATTGCTTTTCGAACGTAGCTTAGTATAAAACAATTAAGTAAATAAATCGCCATAATTGCGATTTGTAAATACGACACTAATTTTTTATTGAATATGAAATGACAGTCACCATGAAATAACATATTATGTTGGTAGAATAAGAGTGATAAGATTTGCTATGTTGGCAAAATACCTGAAATATAATATTGAAGGAAGCATTTTCCAAGCTGCTTTTCAAAATGTTTTGAGACATTTTTACAGACTGAGCGAGAATACAAAATCTTTCGAGATTCCCGCCGAAAGGGGTGTCAATGAAATTTCAAGGTTATGTGAACACCTGAATAGTTCCTAAAACATCGAATCGATCATTTTCTTCGAAATGTCATTCGTGATCTCGACTGACCGAAATGTAGCAAATACAAAAGCCAAGAATTTCCTCATACTGCATCTAACAGTTTTTATGACGTAATTGCGTTGCGATTTCCTATATATACGTCTCGAGTACCTAGTAATTCTCTATTCTCACGCTTCATCTATTTGGACTAGTGAGAAAACGTTTTTAAAACAAAAATCTCATCCTAAATCCTAATTCCTAACCTAGAGGACAGTATAAAAGCTATATATATCTATATATATATATATTTATATATATGTAGTCCTTTGAGCACGCAGGAGTAGGTTAGGTCTCGTGAGTGTCAAGCACAATCGGAAAGCAGACGACAAGACGGAACATAGATAACACATAGTGAACTTACGTTAGTGGAATGATGTCATCGCGTGAGAATTTACACATGTTTCCGACTTTCGTGTGATAACTTCGTCCATATGGGTAATAAATATACAAAATTTTAAATGAAAATTCTAATGATACATATCGTCAACAATTTATTATCGTTAAATTGTTAAAAAACTACAATGCTGTAGTCAATCGTTCGCTCAAAAAATAATCTGTTATTTCATTCGATGATGTGATTAATGCTGCATTTAGGATAAAGACATCGATACCTGAAAATGTTAACTAATTAAGCAAATATCTTACTAACCAAAAATGCTTCATAAAGAAGATTCTGGAGAAGAGACCTCAAGAGCAACAAATGTTTTTTTAACATCATTTATTGTAAGTGGACGAAATTTTATGTACTAGTTTCCGATAACAATTAAAAGTAGTTTGTTATCTAGTGTTCCGAATTTGATATACATAATCTGCATGGTGACTGCACGAACTCGATTCCATGATTGATTAGAGTATAGGTAAACGACTTTAAAATAGATCGAGTGTAGACTATAGTAGAAGTAATAATCGCTTAAGATCAAAGCCCTAAATAATCTGGGTTATTTATTATGCTATGCAAATATTGTTACAATAATTTTATATACACGACAGTCAGGTGCTGTCGCGGGAATCGTTTGTGATTTCGTGTCTTTTCCACTGGACACGCTCAAAACACGTTTACAAAGCCAACATGGTTTTGTTCAATCTGGTGGATTTAAACGAGTTTATCAAGGGCTGGCCCCTGTAATGATAGGATCTGCTCCATCGGGTAAATTTTAATTATGCAACCCACTTACAAAAGTTTACATGCACCTTAATTACTTTCAATATTCGCAAATATACAATGCATATCTTCGATCACATTCGAATCCTACGATTTTTTCACATTGGATGTTTATAGGATGTACATATTTGTCTTCAGATATATGTGTATTCTGAACTAACAACGATCATTTTTCACTAACAAATGCATTATTTTTAGCTGCGGTATTTTTTGTGACTTACGAGGGATTGAAAGAAATTTTTCAACCCCATATACCCCAGCAGTACCACATGTTTATACATATGGCCGCCGCGGCATTGGGAGAAACGGTAAAATATATTCTTTTTAATTTGCATACCTTTAAACTTGAATTTTTTTTTAAAGTATCGATCAATTTGTATAATTTAAATACGCAGAGATTTCGCTAACAGGGCGCGTGTGTAATTCGAGTTCCAGTAGAAGTAGTAAAACAAAGGAAACAGGCGCTTTTACGTGACCAACATAAATTACCATTAAGAACTTTATACCGCGGTTATGGTAGTACTGTTCTCCGTGATTTACCATTTGGTTTAATTCAAATGCCACTATGGGAATATTTAAAACTTTATTGGAAAGAACGTCAGGGACGAGACTGTATGCCATTAGAAGGTGCCATTTGCGGATCGTTGTCAGGTAATAAGAAAATTAGTCTAATTAAAAGTTATGATGGATAAATGCCAAGCTCTGATTGCATGCAATGAAATATTTATCTAAGCATTAATTTTCAAGTGGCTATATCCGCGGTTATAACGACACCCTTAGACGTCGCGAAGACTAGAATAATGTTGTCAAATACTTCTGCAGAAAAAACAGAAGTAAAAATCTCTATAATGTTGAAGGAAGTTTACAAGGCATGTGGTATAAAAGGGTATGCCATCAGTGATTTTGTTTGAATGATATCAATATTTTCCATATAATATTTGTCGACGTCGCATATTTCCAGACTTTTCGCAGGTTTCCTTCCCCGAGTGGTTGGCTTTACACTTAGTGGATTTTTATTTTTTGGCATTTATGAGAAAGTTCGAGAAATTTGTATAACGTCGCTACCACCGTAATATTGCAAATAATCAAGCAACAAACAACATACATATCAATGTAGTAATTCTTGTTGGATGTATAGCTGAGAATATTACAATGAATTTAGATGATGAAGAAATTATATTGAAAAAGAGTTTTATAGTGAAAGGTAATGTCGGTATAATAAAATATTCAATGGTTTAGCTGTGTAAATAACAATATTAATTATTGCAGTATGCTGGCACCAAGGTTTCTATCTCAATAAATTCTCTTGCACTGCACAAAGATACTAAATAAGTACTACAGATAATTGGTAATGGCTTTGGATCAGTTTTGATTTTTCATTAAATCTAAATGATTGAGACTTATATTTTGAAATTATATTCCTACATTACATGATGAAAGTATAAACTTAATTAATGGTTATTTATTTTGGATATACATATAAGCGTTATAATAAAATAAAAGCAATATTTAAAAAATGGAGAATATATTTCAAAGTATATTCAAGATATTTAAATATAGAGATATCTTTACATGTTTATGAAATAATGTATTAGAATTCATTATACAATGTGCACTTACTTGAAATTAATGACAACACTTAAAATATACTAACACTTTTATGTCTGCCTTGAACAACACCTAAACCTGTTCCTAACATGATTGCTTGGTGAATTTAAGGTAACTACTTCTTTCGTTTCTTTAACAGGATTAGTTGCTACAAAATCTTGCACGATTACATTAAACAATTCAGCTACAATAATAAATTAATTAATACCACATTGATCATAATAATATATACCTAACATCGATTCTTACCAATATTTTCTCCGGTCTTACTGGATGTTATATACAATTTAGCCCTCACGCTCGTAGCATAATTGTTTATAGCTCTCATTTCCAAAAATTGAACCTCGTCAGGTTTAAGGAGATCATTTTTTGTGCCACAAATGTATATTTTACATGATTCTTCGACTGCTCTGAGTTCTCTGATCCAAAATTTTGCCCTTTGAAAGGTAACTGCTGTTGTAACATCAAAACATACTATAGCAGCTTTAGCCTCACGATAAAACATCCTCGTCATTGCCTCGTATCTACAAGAATATAAAATTTCTAATAAAATAACTACAAATATCATTTTGTAATTTTTTAGTTTTCATAGAGTTATGGAAACTGTTTACCTTTCGCAACCTGCTGTATCCCATATTCCTAGGACAATCGAAAGTCCATTACACTCTACTTTCTTAGATGAATATGCGGCGCCTATTGTCTAAGGAAAGTGGAACTGAGTTAATTTGTTTTGATATTCACCTCTTACATGACTTTAAGCATACATTTTAATGATTTTATCTTAGAATATTCCTTTCACATCACGAACTAAGAGAAACAAGATAGCCTAAATTAGTACAATACGTTATAAAATAAATTATTATGAATTTCTACAAAATTTCAATACAGTAGCTTTCTATAATTTAACATTTGCTATGAAAGCAATAAACAACTAAATCAATCAATATTTCATGCATCTGATGTTAAATTATTTCAACATCTATGGAATTACTTGATTATCAATAAATCTATAGATAAACAAAACAGTATATTGTACTTACACCTTTAAAGGAAATTTCATCATTAAATGTTTCATGTATGTAACGCGTCACAAGACATGTTTTTCCTACATTTTTGTCACCCAATAAAACAATTTTTAAATCAACGTTCTCCATAGTTCATTGATATTTTGATTAAAAGTATAACTTCTATCTTTATCGCAATTGTCAATAACAATTTTAAGTACGAGATATACTGCGAAGCTCTATAACTGCATACTGCTTAATGATCCATTTTATTCACTTTAGTCATAGTAAATTACTGAGTACGCATAAACTAATCATCCCAGAAATTGTATACAGGGTAGCTTGAAAAAAAGCTACATTATTCGTTGGTGTAATCTATTTGCGCTGTGTCATACTCCTGCTTACTTGTTACTAATGTACTGTACATCCGTGAAAAGATGGCAGCAAGTATACATAGATAGCGTGGTACACAGTGCATACAGATCGTTCAGAGAAACTTGCACATATCTATCCTTATCCCCCACCACCAGATATCCCATCTACCTACTGTATATACCATCTTTTCGCGGGCATTCTATATGTACATATTCCTTTTTTTCTTCGTTCACCTGTAACTTTGTTACAAGTGCAACAAATAATAATAATTAAGGTTTCAGTACTTAATTTGAAAAATGCCAGGGGAAATAATTACATTTTATTTATACATTTTTCTGTTGATGCTTTTTATAATGATTTTCAATAAATATTTTGTATCATACATTATGATTGTATATAGAATTTCGAACCCTTACTGCAAAAAATCTTTCTAATGTTGAAAATAAATATTGCAACAATGATCAAACTATAAACTAGTCAATATTTTTCATAGTAATAACGAAGTTTCTGTTTCATAGTTATTCAGTTTCACTTGGCTTTCCCTTGTGCAGCAACTGCTGCAATTGCAGCCTTCACAGTTTCCTCATCACCTAAGAACTTCATGGACACAACAGGTTTAAAGTTTTCATCTAATTCATAAACAAATGGAATACCAGTTGGCAGGTTTAAACCCATGATCTGATCATTGCTCATTTCTGAAAGGAAAACCATTGGTATTACAATTCTTATAAATGTTATAATATGTTCAATATGTGTAAAAGCTTACGGTCTAAATGCTTCACAATGCCACGCAAACTATTTCCATGAGCAGCAATAATGATTTTCTTTCCCTCCTTCAGTTGCGGAATAATTGTATTATTCCAATAAGGCAATGTTCTTTCAATTGTCAGTTTTAAGGACTCGAATTTAGGAAACTCTTCTTCTTTCAGTTCACCAGCATATCTTTGGTCTTTTACTATTGTCTCATAGTATTTATGATCTTTTTCCATCGGAGGAGGAGGTATATCAAACGATCTCCTCCAGATTTGTACTTGTTCTTCGCCATATTTTGCCGCTGTTTCTGCTTTATTCATTCCAGTTAAACCACCATAGTGACGCTCGTTTAAACGCCAAGTCTTACTAACAGGAATGTTTTCTTGGTTTGATTCTTTAAGAATTGACTTCAGAGTTTCTTGTGCTCTAGTCAGTACCGACGTATGTGCAATATCGAATGTCAATCCTGCTTCCTTTATTGCTTTACCCGCAGACACTGCTTCAGTTTTACCTAGTATTAAAAATATACATTGTTAATCTGTTAAGAAACTAAATTAATTTGTCGTTTGTGTTATTATATTATTATAGTTTTCTATTAATTTGTCTCTTTTTCTTTTACATATTTTCATTGATCGTGTCTTCAGTTACGTCCTCGTAAGTGTACAGAATTACAAATTCACTCTATTAACAAGTTAAATATCGCTCCCAAAATATAAAGGTCAGCATGATTGCATGTTTTTAAGAAACAAATGCTTACGAAAACATTTTTCCGATAGTCGTTGCATTCAGGAAAGTCTTGTAACCATTTATTTTATAACCAACGTTTGTGCAAATAACCCTTGAATGTACTGACGTGTAATATCTATAAAAATATTTCGGGTAAAGGAACCTAACGTTTCGTGACATTTTGCTAGATCGACCTTTTGCCCTTGAAGAATCCTCTTCACATTCGTAATCCCGATAACACTTACCCTTGTCAGACAAATCAGCATCGTACCATCCGCAGAACAAGTTCAACTTGTTCCACTCGCTCTCGCCGTGACGGACCATTACAATCGTGTATTTCGACATTTTTGTATCACAAGAGGTAATACTGTTTAAACGAGAAGCTCGAGCCACGAACAATGATCCTTCGATACTTTTACACGACTGTTTCAGCCACAGACCCCCACCACCTGTCACTGTATCCGATACCGCGAGCGCTTTATTTAAAATTTCACGCAAACCCATACCACAGAGTATATAAATTGCGATATTCCAATGTTTCTCGTGAACCAGATTCTAACAGGACACCGTAGCGGCGCCTCTTGTGGAGAAAAACTGAAGCTCGGTTCGGGGTCCGTACAGCGGCAAAACGCTGAAACTGCTAGCCAAGTTACCGACAATCGATTTTGGTTAACAGTTTGAGCGTTTTGCCACCGTACTAATTGACGCTGTACGGACCCCGATCCGAGCTTCAGTTTTCCTCCACAAGAGGCGCCACAGTCGCCCAACGCTATCAGAATACAGGGTCGCTGAAAACATTAATTATTGTTAAATTAGAGCACAAAACAATAAACCCAGGGCACAGAATTGTTCAGTATAAACTACTGCATCGATATCGCGTGAAAAAAAGCAGATGATAACACCGCGGACTATAATTAATCGACGTAGTAATTGATCAAAATTCAAAAAGCAATTAATTATGTTGAACAATGTTATCGTTCCGCTTTTTTTATATATCATCGATACAACAGATTCTGTTGCTCAGTTCGGGATCCTTCATTTGTCCTGCATTCTGTCACAGACTTCTTAAGTCTGTGGCATCGATTAATAGTAAATTATATTAACGAATTTGACAATGATCTACGATGAAAGAAATGGATTCTCTACATACTCTATATTACTATATCCGATTTTCTAACATTAGCATGTGGCGGCTACCTCCGGACCCGCCAGCAGATGGCTCCTCTTCCCGCAAGTAACCGATCCGCCTCAGTTAGTATATACAGGGTGTTCCATAATTATTTTAACAGCCGAAAATGAGGGGTAGCTGAGGTCATTTGAAGTAACTTTTTCCTTTGCGAAAATGCAATCTGCGGCTTGTTTACGAGTTATTAACGAAAAACACTGACCAATGAGAGGTGACGGCGCGAAGTTCGAGACTCCGCGAGCCGCGTTCGAAGTATTGAACAAATCACGATCAAATCAAGGTCACTGTACACCTTCACTGTACACCTTGCTTAAAAATTTCATATGTTACACGCGAGGTGTCATGCACACTAGAAAATTAAAACGGCCGTCACGGTTAAATTACTTATTATTTCGGGTCCGTAAAAATTAGTAAATATTCTTCAGACGTTCTAAAGTAAAGGTGAACAGTGTTTTTCTTAAAAATATCACTGTTACGTGGTAAAAAAAATCCAGAAAGTTCTCTCTCCTTTAGTCCCAAACACAGATCAAAACCGTCAAAAGCAAATCGCGATCTTCTCCTCGAAACGAAATAGAAATTTCACTGTCGCGAATCCTCCGCGCGTGTTCGCTAACGCGTTGCCGCACCAGCGCGACGCGTTTTATTGGTAAAAAGTCAATTCGCTAATCCACTATTCCCAGACAATGGTCGGTTCGAATTCCGTTGGAACGGTCGCAGTAAACAGCGGTAACAACCGGCTCCAAATAAGAGAGAAGCTGCCGGAGGCGGGATGATGGTAGTAACGATAACATTCGAACTTTTTCTTTTAATTATTGATTAGATCGGCGGTTTCGTCGTGCAAACAGGGTTTTATGTTTGCCGGCGAAACTGTCGGCCGGGCACAAAACGTGTTCGTGGGCCGGGGCTCCGACGCGATTACCGTTCGGGCCACTTTTATTAACGCGTAACAGTATCGCGAAAGGCAAAGCACCGGGTCTACGGGGCATAAAGCGTTCTTCCCGATCGGTCCTTCCCCGGCCGAGCGTGCCATTTGGCTTTTCACCGTGCAAGCAGAGTCAAGAGGGAAGCTAAAGCCGGCGAAGCCCGGCAGAAGCTTTGCCGCGGCGCCGTATAATGCCCACGCGAACGACGTTATGCAAATAAAATACGCCGGCAACGAGAATGCGGGAAAGTAAAGCGGAGAATAAATTGTAACGGCGGATGCGTCCGGCGCGACATCAAATTATGAATGATACGGTTTCGCGCAATCCCGGACCGTGACGTTGTAACTACGGCCGGATTACGAGCTGCGACCGAAAAGAAACGGAAGTCAATCAGCACCGTGCTCCAAATATTCCGTCGTGTGCAATTTGGTAGAAGCATCGCGACCAGAAGATCGTGTCACTGCAATTTCTCCCAGAAATGTTCCGAGGTCGGAATTGAAACCGGCGGATCTGAGAATACTGAGCTGCGATTCTTCGAGTTTCGCGGCTCGTTTTTACGGAAACATATATGTATATTTATACGAATGCATAAAATAAGTTAGAAGATAAGTTTAACCTTTTTATTTCTAATTTCTTGCCACGATTCGAAGGCAATTCCAAGGCCACGTGACACGAAAGCAATTCACGGTAACCCGAAATTTGGCATTTCCGGGAGAAATTGTAGTAACTCACAAACTAATTACTAGAACATCGGCTGATTTGTTCAATATATATTGTTATTTGTTGACGAATGTTAAATAATATTTGTTATATTATAAATATATGGAAATATATATAAATATATAATATATAAATATATGAAAGCGACTGTTTCCTGATCTTTTCTTCAACGGTTTTTGATACTATGAAAATGGTTCCAGCCATATATAGACATTTATACATTTTCTTAATAATTTTCTGTAGCACGGGAAAATTCTCGGCAACCGGAAATCTGGCATTTCCTGGAGAAATTACTACTATTCGAATTATTGTACCCGAACAAATTTTGACCACGATAGGTTTACCGTTGAATCGCGCACCCCGAGGCACACAATGCCGTCGAAAGGGCGCATTGATAGCGTCAGGTAGTCTTCTTTCATCGGATTAGATATCGTCGGACGTGTACGCATAACGAGATAAATCTGGTCGATAGAACAACGGGCAGAGGAGAACCGAGCGTCGCCGCAAGGAACTAATGATACAATGCTATCCCACCTTCTGTTTCGAGTATTTCAGCGCAGCTAGAACGAAGTTGTGGTTACACGAACCGAATCTTGCTAGCGAAGTTGTAAGTTTCCTTATCAGTAGATTAGTATCCAATTAACGAGACATTTAATACCTCGACTCGCGCTAATTGCAACTTCCCGGCTTTTCTAGCTGAACTGAGAAGACTATCTGGAATCTCACCTTGCCACTCTTCGCGTTCCGTCGACGTGTCGAAAGCTTACAACGATCGACGTGTCATCTGAATTTCAGGTGTCGTTGTATCAGCCGTTACGATCATGCGTTGCGATTTCTTCCACGCTTTCGTTGATTAACATTTCTCGTCTTTAATGATTTCCCCAATAGAACAAGACGATGTTTGCTTCTTGCATGTTCTCAGTTAGTTTAATTCTTAGATTGCGATATAATCGGACTGCGGCGGAAACGCAGAGCAGCGGAGACGTCAACCTTTTAGAGTTGATTAATCATTAATACTAGATTTACGGAACCCGTCATTTTGACGGGTCACTAATTGTTTAATTTACGATTATTCATATCATAAAGATACATTTACGAGTTATTTATTCAATATACAGTACATTTTCCCTAATTGACGTTCAGCTTGGGAACAAAAATAGACAATTTAAAAAGAGGAGATGCGATTATTCGAGACTTGCGCCCCGTTTTTATAATTATTGACTATCTGCATCTGTAAAAACGAGCCACGAGCTTCGAATAATTGTACCTCCTCTTCCCAAATTGTCCATTTTTGCTTCCAAGCTGAACGCCAATTAGGGAGACTTTACTGTACGCGTTACTTGCGGCAAATATTACCAATCGCACTCGTTCAAAATCAGAATAAATGTCTCATTGTTACTTTTATAAACTAATATTCAGGGTGTCCCAGATTTTAATGTTCAAACTTTGTCAGTATATTCTATGGCACAAAGTAAGAAAAAAATGTTATGTAAACATATGTTATATAGAGCTTTATTATATATTATTAAATTCAGAATAGGAATAGTAATCAACTAAAAAAAAAAAATAAAAAATAAAAAAGAATCTTCGATCGATATCAATCATGTATTGTCAACAACGGTTATTAATACATTTCGAAGTGTATTAATAAACACAGCTTACATAAACACACGGCATGTGCTGATCTATTCAAGCCAATGCTCGTAGTAACAGCAAGTTGATTACTATTCCTATTCTGAATTTTTGTTATAACTTCTTAATAAAGCTTTATATGACATATGTTTACATAACATTTTTTTCTTACTTTGTGCCATAGAATATACTGACAAAGTTTGAACATTAAAATCTGGGACACCCTGTATATTAGTTTATAAAAGTAACAATGAGACATTTATTCTGATTTTGATATGACCTATGTTTACATAACATTTTTTTCTTTGTGCCATAGAATACACCAACAAAGTTTAAACATTAAAACCTGGGACACCCTGTATAGTACAGCTGTTTATTTTACGCTCCGTAAATCTAGCGCTAAATAAACGAACACATTTCTGTTTAATTCCTGTTCCTCGCGATTAAACTGTGACATTTTTATTCGACTCAAAGATCCGCAATCTGCCGACAACAGAATCAAAACGAAATATTCCATCGATCCACTTATAAAACAGTATCTCCATCACGAGAAATTTCCACGTGTCCCATCGCTCCGTTCGACGTCTTTTTACTTATCGTACGTCAGTCTCGCATCGCGTACGTTCCGAACAAACACCGGCCATTACCGTAACCGTGAATCACGTACGACACGCGGGACAGCGAACCTAATTCTATCAGCCGCAAATTCATGTCGCCGGACGCAACGAAGGGCAAATGTTGCCGGAAAGCGAGGGCAAATCGATGGCGAACGAACGAACGAACGAACGAACGAACGAACGAACCCCTTACGTTGGACGAAACGATTCGTTGCAACAAAAATCGCAGCTCGGAAATCTGATCGTACGTTGCCGCACGCTTTAGCCAAGTTCGCCTAGGAATCGGCCAAGTCAAAACAGGCCGTGCGCCGTGAAAAGCGGTTCATTCGATAACTCGGTTCTCGAAGTGGAATTAACGATTTTCCCGTGACGAACGCCGCCCCGACACCCCATCG